GAACCGACCCCGATCCACTACCCTTTGCCCTTTTGTATATATATTAAAAATCCCCCCGTCCCAACCTCTTCCCGGCGATTTCCAAACCTCCACGCATAAATAAAATTAGAAAACTCGAAATAGAGAGAGAGAAAACGGCAGTTCTTGGCCGCCGGCGGTGGGTTTTCCCGGAGAGAAAGAGAGCGGAAGGTGGGGGAGCTCGTGATCTGAGCTCTGGTTCTGGTCGTTCAATGGTGTATATTGGTGGGAGGGGAGAAGAGTCAGTGAGGCGACGAGCCGGTGACGGTAACGGCGGTGGTTTGGCGATGGCGATGGGGACGGAGAGATCAAAACCGCCGCTCCACAATTTCAATCTCCCGAGCTTGAAGTGGGGGAATCAGAGACAACTCCGATGCATGAATCCCCCGGATTCGAGTAATAGCGGCAGCACCACCAACCCCAGGCGAGAGAGGGGAATCTCGTTCGATCGCCACCGGCGGAGCAGCCGATCTCCTCCGTTGAAATTCGCCGCCAGCTCCAGGGATTACGACGCCAGGCATCACCAATTCAAGAAGCCGAGGCCGAGAATTGGCGGCGCGGGCGGCGGCGGCGGCGGTGCCGACGAAGGGATCGAGGCTTTGGGGGAGAAGCTCATGTTCGATTTGAAGACGGCGGCGGATAGGATGAAGGACGAGATATTGAGGAAGGAAGTTTGCGACGAAGACGAGGAGGAGGAAGAAGAAGAAGAAGACGTTGCCGACGGCGATCGGGACGCGCGGCGCAAATCTTCATCGCCGCCGCCGGCGACGGCGGCTAAAGCGGCGATGGCCGTATCTACCGGCGGTGGAGAAGAAAAGGAGCACGAGCCGCGGCCGTGGAATCTGAGGACGAGAAGAGCGGCGTGTAAAGCTCCGGCGACGACGACTAACGCGCCGATCGGGGCAGGCGCATCGGCAAGCCTGGCCGGCGCCGCTACGGCGAAGGGGTTGAGGATTGAAGAGCCGAAGGAGAGCAGCAGCAGGTATTCTCCTATCAGAAGTGACAGCGGGAAATTGCCCCGGCTCAGAGGCGGTGAGAAGAAGGAGCCGAGGGCTAAGTTCACGGTGGGTCTGTCGAGGAAGGAGATCGAAGAGGATTTCATGGCGATGATCGCCCATAGACCTGCCCGGCGGCCGAAGAAGCGACCAAGAATTGTTCAGAAGCAGATGGATGTAAGTCAAATTGATCGATCCCTTACGTTCCCTTTTGCTTCCCCTTCCCCTTCCCCAATTACACCGGCGAAATCTCCTCTTCCTGTTGAGACTTACGATTGATCCGATTTCTCGTTGCAGACTCTCTTTCCTGGGCTGTGGCTGGGGGAAGTCACCGTCGACACATACAAGGTGCCGGAGATTCCTGATATCGGAAAGGTAAATTGAATAGGAATGTGGGTTTCTGGTATCATGAAATGCTCTCCGAATTGAACTTTCTGAAATCAATCTACTGTTTACATTAGCAGTTGTTCCATTCACCAGCCTTTACTTCTCTGATATGATGAATTCATGAAATGGTGAATACTAACTGTGCTTCAATCTCTGGCTTGCAGAGATAGTAGATGTTCAGGGTTTGAAGGTGATTGCTCTTTCCTGCTATCAAACTGGGTAGAACTTGCAGAGGTTGAAGATGGGGTGGCACAAATCAAAGCAAAGCACACAATCTCAGTGGGAATTAGGGACTTGATAGAAGAAGCAGGTTTGCTTCTACTTACTCCTGATGACTCATTCAGGTGCCTTGAAAGTGTTAATTTTTGTTCTGTTCTCAAAACTTATAGTTCTTTTATTTTTATCAAAGATCATGAGAGTAATAATGTCCTGTAAAGAATAGTGGGCAAATGCTTCTTAGATAGAAGGGACAAACCCCCTTCTTCTTTGAGCTTCTTTGCTTCTTTGGTTTCTCAAGTTTTTCTAGGTTTTGAATCCTCTGACCAATGTAGTAGTCCCTGGGATGCTATTGAAAAGTTGAAATCTATAGTTTCTTCACCTGTTACCCTATGTTCTTCTCTGGTTCCTGCATTGTCAGTCCGGGTCAAAGCATCAATGTTTGGGGACCTGTTCATATGTTTGTGCAATTCCTGAACAAGAACACTCAAAAGTCTTTGAAGCTGAATACCACTCTTGAAGCTTCGACACGTCTGACTTCGATTGAAGCATCGATGCTCGCAGCAGCAAGAATGGTTTCATTTATTGGTCACCGTGGGTTCTTTGAACTGCTGCAGTAGCATAATGTTGGCAGCTTGTACCGAAACCATGAGCTTTGAAGGGGGCAAAACTTAGTCCAATTAATGTTGCAGCCTCAGAGGCATGGCGTCTGGTGTACAGAGAACTGGGAGGAGCTTCAGCATTCTGTTGTCACCTGTTTCAGTTCATAGGAAAGTTCATTTAAACTCGGGCAGATTCTGTCTGGAATACGTGGTATTCGTACATCCTCAGATCCATTCTAGCTTTCGTGTGAAATGGTATTCATCAACTTAATTCTGGTACTTGATCAAGTATCTTACAGGGAAATTGCAAGATTTTTCTGACCATTTCACTGTTTCTGGAGATGAACAAGTGGCCCCCGCCTCATCGCCTTCCAGTTCCGAGCATCCTCCGATGAGACGACTTTCTGACTCTGCACAGCTCGGTTGATACTTAGATACAGAACAAGATCAAAGCTACAAATAATAGCGCTTCTGGGTAGTTGAGAGATTGAGTTTCTCCTCTGGAATTCTTGAGAAGCCATGGCGGGAGGAGGGAAGCTGCTGTGTGATGTTTTGTTAAGAGGGAAAGAAAGGGAGGGTGAAAGTGGCTGAGCTGACCTGAATGGAAGACCGGGAAATTAAAAGTGAAGTTGAATTCTGGCCGAACAGTGGCGGCGGAAGGCGCAAAGATAGTGGAGACTGGAGACCGGAGGATCTCGTCGAGTTGAGTAAAGCGAGTTGACCCACCCGACTCCGTTCCATACGCTATCCGCGTTTCATTCCCTATACGCAAAAATAAAAAATAAAATAATAAAATGCAATTATAAAAATGCTAAATTAATGATTGATGGTATTGGTTAACGACTTGATTCACGTGTGGATCTGAAATCGTTTCGGAGTTTGGTTCCCTGTCAAAGCAAGCACCGGTGTGCTGGCTTCGTCTGGGCCAACCGGTGGAAACGGGCTTGGCCCATTTGGATTACAGGCCTAGATGTTGGGGCCCTTTTTGTCTTCGCTTCTGGATCATCGGCCACCTTGGGCTTTCATAACGTAGTCTCTGCTGAACTGTCTCATTGCATAGCTTGTGTATATCTTCAGAGTTCAGCCCAATCCATGAGATGGGCACATCCAAAGTAGTGGTCTCAAGTCTCAACTAAAAAGGATAAGATGGAATGAGATAGATGATATAGAGACAGAAGGGAAGGGGGCAAAAGCGTCATTTAATATGTGTTTGTGAAATCATATCGACAGTTAGGTTGGAAATACCTTATATTATATTCTAACTCGCTAGATGATTTTTAGGGTTTTAAAACGGGTCAACTACAAATTCAACACAAAATAATCTACCGCCAACTTTTTCGATACAAACTCTGATTTTGTTTTGCTGATTTTGCAACCTACTATTGATTAATTATTTATATATTTAATTATAAGCATATTGAGAATCAATCTCCCTAATCATTCACTTAGCAATCAGTTAATTATATGGTGAAAGCATCTATCAAAACTCATTATTTTTTTCTCCCCCTTTTCCTCGACTGCTTTGTTATTCTCTCTGGTGAGCAAAGTTGCTCTTGGAAGCATTGAAATTCTTGTCTTTAAGTAGTACTATTATTATATTTCATTATGCTTATCTAAAACCATACCTTACAAATCACCATAAGAGGAATCAAGTTAATAATAGAAAAATAGCATACGATTATTTCAAAAATTCATATTGTATCAGCAGCATCATAGCTATTATTTTATAGAGATAGAGCACATTCCCTATAAAAAAAAGTGTTATTGAGCACATATTTGTGCTTGAAGTGTTTGTTAGCTATGTAATAAACATCAGACAACCCAAACTAGATGATTTTGCACGTCTTAGCTTTAGTTCTTTGATTCTGATTAGTGCGATGACATGATGACACGATCATCACTCTTGAGAAAAGAACCATATTTAGATTTCCATACAACAAAATGGCCAAAAAATAACAAATTAACATGGAAATCGAACTGGCCATTGTGAAGCCTAAAAGGAAAACACAAGAAAAGAAAAAGACAAAGGCAAAAGGAAGAAGATGCTTTGGCTTTGCTTCTTTGTCTCCCAAGTCTGGCCATGTTGATAGAATGATAGGGCAAGGCATTGAACAAAAACTGCCCATCTTGATTAGGGCAAGGAACCCCACAAACCAATTACCTTTCTTGGACTCAGAATACCTATCCCTAGCTCACACTATAGTACTTCACTACTACATAGACAAACACAAGTTGCTTATGGTATTGCGTGTTCATTTGCATTTGATATCGTTGGATCGTTCTCACGTGTTTTCGGTTGTTGAATTGAAGATGAAGTGATGACATTATTTGTAAAGTTATTGTCATATCCGAACTCAATAATATATAATATGTAGAATGGCAATTCAACAATATCAATACCCACAAATCAACTCGTACATTTGTCGTCGCAGTTGTCTAGCTACCACATTAAACATACTAACATCAGATTCAAGACGACTCCCAAGTCCTAACTTTGTGTCGCCTGCGCCATACCAAAAAGAAAAGACTCTTTCTTGTCGCAACCCATTCTCTTAGATCCAATAATTTGATTAGAAATGTGGAGAGTAGTAAGAGGTCACATGGAAGGGAAGGCTGAACCAGGAACCAAATTGACAGGCAACCAAATACATCTGTACTTTCGACAGGATTTCTATACACATATGATCAGATCGAAGAAGAAGAAGAAGAAAAAAACTCAAATTTATATGTATAACGACGAAAAAGAGAAGGAAAAATGAGTAAAGATGGTAACTTTGATCATCTATCTCTTCTTCTTCTTCTTCTTTTTATCAACCTTACCGTTACAGAACAGAGAACCCAGCCCCAAAAAGTTGACCGTTCCCCTGGACATGAAAGCCGGTGCCGGGATGTTCAGCACCGGGGTGATTCTAATCCCGGCGGAGTTATTGCCGTATGACCCGCATTTCCTCAACGCCGGAAGATTCGATTTTTGCTGATGCCGGCCCCCGGTGTTGTAGGGATAGTAACAGGGTGCAGAGCTGGTGGGCATCAATGGCGATTTCCTGTTGGGAACCGACCTCTGTTTCCGCAAATGACGGGGGTTTTCCTCCTTGGGTTTGTTTTTGGGTGGATTTGGAGCCGACCCAGTTGAGTTGCTTCTCGAAAGGAAATGTAGGGATCGGATTAGCCCTCCTCTGCTCCGGCAGCTGATTTCGTCGCAGTTTAGACTGTTGCTTCTCTTGAATTGCCAGAACGATCTCGGTCCCGCCGCCGCCGCCGGCGGCGGCGGGTTTTGACTCTGTTGTTCCTCGTGCTCTCCGTCGAGACTCGTCGACAGAAATTCCTTCAGCAGCTTCTTCTTCTCCGAATCAAGCTGCGGAGAAGAATCATTCTCGACAGCTTGCTGAACCGGCGGCGGAGGAATGGGAATCGCTTCTTTCCCTGTGGCAGTTTGCGGTTGCAATTGTTTCTTGATTTCTACAGGCAAGATCCTGCCGTTGGAGAAGAGCTCGTCGGCAGAGGAAAATTCTCCCCTGCTGCCGATGAAGAAATTGAAGTCGGAGTCGAGAAGACATAAATCTGACCTGGGGCGGTGACCGGCGTCGGCTTCCGGCTGTGTTGCCTGAGTGAGGTCACGGGAGAAGGAAAGCCTTGGACTGATTAGACCTGCGCTCGAAATCTCCGACCAAACATCCACCGCCATTTTCTTCTGGCATCAATGAGGCAGAGAGGAAAAAGGAAGTGTGTGGGTTTATATATATCGATGGAGGCAGAGGAAAAACAGGGGCAGAGGAATTTAAGGAAAATTTTGCCCACAAGTCAGAAATTGCAACAGCAGCATTAGCTTTTTGCGCTTTTGTTTGTCTTCCGCCAGATAGCTCTCTCTATTCCCTGTCCTATATAATCACGACACAGAGAGCGACCCTAAGAGAAAGAGAGGGTAAAAGAAAGACAGAGTTTAAACGAAGCAGAGCATCAAAGCAACTGAATTGGATTCTACTGTGGGGGAAAAGGTGAAAAAAAGGAAAAGAGACTTGGTAGCACCGAAAGCCTATTATATTAGTAATGGTCTGCATGATTCTGCTGGAGAAGGGAGAAATTATGGAGGGAGATGATTCAATATGTAATAATGTAATGGTCTCACTTTCAAGCTCTGTAGATGAAGGTTTTGGAAGGGAATTTGTCAACGGGTTTAGGTGGGATTAATTCCTTGGATTGAGCAGGAGGGAAATAAGAAGCTTCTGAGTACTTGACAGGAGGAGGATAGCAAAATTTATCAGTTATTTAAGGTAATTGTTATTTGTATTTAATGGATTATTGCTCAAACAATACAAGAATAACAATGATCTTGATATGGTTTTAAAGAGAGAGTCTTTAGGGCTTTAGGCAATAACTTTCTTTCAATCATTTTAGTTATCAGGGTATTGTTAGTGTTAGAATTGTAATGAGATTATGTTTTTTCATACCCTCTGATTATAAGACCTCTCATATTCAACATGTTAGTTTTTGGATTGTCACACCATATGGAGTAGCTTTCGACTTTTTTAGAGTAAGATTATCTATGGTTCGTTAGTAAGGTTGTCAAATCGAGTTAAGTCATTGAGCTAGTCAAGAAAGGGGTTTGAAATTTATTGGTCTGATCAGGGTTCAACCTGTTTGAGCCTTTTTTTACGTTTCCTAAATATATATACAAATAATGTACTAATTAAAAATTAACAACTAAAATGAAATTTATTTTACATGTATCTATTAAAATCTTATTTTCCACAAAATAAAACCTACCTAACCTTCTAATTCACCTACTATCTTCCTTCCTTCTTTCCCCCTCCTCCCTTTCCTCTCTCTTCTTCTCGCTCGTTATGGGTAAGACTGGGGGGCTTTCTGGGAGACCGTTTTTAAGTCCAACCTAACCGGGGGGGGGGGGGGGGGGGGTCCGATAGAGGTTTAACAACCTTGTTCGTTAGTGATGCTAAATATGGTTGGCTATCTCCTAGCACGGAGAACTAATTCATTCAGTCGAGTCTAGATGGAGGTTCTAAAATACGCTTGACCGAAAGGGGAATGAGAAGTTAGGAAGCAAGGAAGAGGTGTGCAATCGCATAGTATTACCTGATTCGCAGTATCGTGGTGCGGGACATGTGTATTGCTTCCTACCTACTCCGCCCCTCCCTGTCCTGCCTCATTCTTGACCCATTCTATCAACGATTTGCATTAATGTTTACATGTATTTCTCCTCTTTTACCTTTCTAAAATCATATTTTCATCCTACATAAATTTTAATATTATATCTTTCAACTATTTAGACTCATTTATCCCTTCTACTATATTTTTCATTCATTTATGAAGTATTTTCTCAATGTGTTATTGTAAAAGAGTTCAATAACGACGTTCCTTTTTTCAAATAACATACAAGAATGGATAGACCTGTCCGGCACACACTCGCGTGAGTATTATCCAAACTCAACCACGCTTAGTCCGTAGCAGGGTATGAGTATTGAGGCTCTCGCCATGTCCCACACCATTTCCATCGCTAAACTAAATGATCACTTATGATTCCCAGTGCATGACATAATGATTAATCCCCTTAGCTCGTTTCGTCCATTTTTCCTGCTAAATGTGCCTAGTCAGCATGCCAACAAGATGTGGTACGTCAACAAACACATCTTGTTGGTACCATGCTCTTATCGATTGGTTGAATAAAAAACTCAACTCTAAACCATATCTTAAACCCATCTTGTTGGTACCCTCCTCTCTAGTTTTTCCTCGTTCATTTGTCATCCTCTTCTACATTCTTTCACACACTTATAATTATCCAAAACCCTAAACTTCAAAGAATCGAGAGTGTCACAGTTTGTCATTTACCTCTATCATTCACCCCTGCTAACCTCATATTGTCAAGTATCAACCACGTTTCATTTCACATATCTCTCATCTTACCTTTTTAGTTCCGATCATCTCCTATCCATAAATTTCATGGTCTTAATTAATCACTCTTCAATTGCATGGATTTGGTACAAACCGATACCTTCCAAATCAAATATCCACATAACCCTTAAATTGTTTCAAAACTTTGATTTAACTGATTGAATTGCTTTTTGTCACGAAGTAATTCAACTACAACCTATATATGATTTTGGTATTGATGTTCTTGAAGGGTGGGCATTCTGTCGGTTTGGTTCAAACCGAACCAAATTACCGGGTCCCTGAAGTAGTTCATGGAGCAAACCAAATTCAAACCAAAATACATCTCGGTTCGATTCGGTTTTAAAACCACCTCGAAGTTACAAATTCTTTACCATTTATGCGTAGAACAAATTCTTTCTCTGTCTCTCTCTTCTCAGATCACAATGCATCGATTTCTCCTCCTGTCTCTTGACTCGGCGATTGATCGAGAGAACAACTCAACGACAAGCGACGACGCTGATTGACATTGATGATTGTGACGACTTCGACGATGGAGGTTAGAGGTTAGTAAGGCTTAATATCCAAGTATGCATGGAATTTTTGGTTCGCCTCTATGTCTCTCATAGATTTCGCGCTGCTTTTTTGTATTTGGTTGAAGCCTTGAAGGGAAGTGATGGCGTCAAGCAGATTTTGTTTTGGGTTGGGGGGGAGGGGATAGCGTCGAAGCTAGCAAATTTTAAAAGAGCTCAAGGATTTGTGTTCTCCACCCAATCCGCTAACCCTTCTCCTCTCTTCATCATATATAGTTGCAATCGTCGGTGGAGACTCAAACTTCGTCGTTGTTTTCCTCTTTTGTCACCGAGGAACTCTGTTCACCAATCACCACAAAACAGCCGCCAAGCCTTCACTCTCCACCGACGATTGCTGTGAGGTTTGGGTTGGGCTAGAGTTTTACTAGAGAAATGAGAAAATAGATGTAGCAGGCTTGGGACTGTGTGGCTTGGGGTTGTGGGCTTAGGTTGTGCACTATGAGTGTAAGTTCGGTTGGTCGGTTTGGAATTCGGAAATCAAGTCCGGTTAGGCAGACATTGGTTTTAGAAATATTGGATTTTGCCTTTCGAATTCCTAACCAAACAAGGATAGTTTGGTTTCGATTAAATTTAGTTCGATTTCAAGTCAATTTGGTTCGAGTTCACCGAACCGAATGCCCATCACTACCGTGCTTGTTTCCCATGTTCTTTCGTACTCAATTTTTTTTTCAAAACTAACATAATTAATCACATTTTTCGCAAGTTTAAATTAGAACACCTATTATTAGGTAGGTTTGTCAGTCGGTCGGTTTTGGTTTAACCGAAAACGGATTGCTCGATTATCGGTTAAGTCAAAACCATGACTGCGCCTTCCGCCAACCGACTGCCCTGCAGGCGCGGCTAACCGCCGACCGACCGACCAGTTTTCGGTTTCGACTCGGTTTAACTGTGAAACCGCGAAAAGGAGGTCGGTTTGCTTGCTGCGGCCGCCGACGGGGGAGGGACGAGGCGAGGAGCGACTTCTTCGAGAAGCCGGCAGGCGAAAACGGAGGGAGACGGTGGGAGACGCGGCGCGATGGCGGTTGGAGGCGGCAGGAGATAGCGGGCGGCGCGGCAGGAGACGGAGACGGCTGCGCTGCCTCTGCGTGTCGCGACTCGCGACGGTTGGAGGCGGAGGGAGACGGTGGGGTGCTGGAGGAGGGGCGGCGAGGATGGGCAGTGCAATGGTGAAGGGCGGCGACGGCGAGGGACGGGGGTGGTGACTGGCGGCTCTGCGCGTCGCGTGAAAAAGGGGGAGGCAGAGGCAGACTGTGTCGAGGCCTCGAGGGGTTGGCGGCTGGGAAGTGGGAAGGAGGAAGGAAGGTCGGCGAAATTTAGGGTTGGAGAGGGGGTCGTTTTGGCTGGGGGGGTCGTCATTTGCTTTGGGGGAAGGGGTCGTTTTGGGCGCGATTGCGGGGTCGTTTTGAGTAAAGGGGAAGAGAGTCTGTTAGCCGAGCCTCTCCCCCGGCAACCGACCGACGACAATAAAGGACTGTTTTCGATTAGCCGAAAACCAGTCGGTTTGGATGTAACCGACCGGTTAACTGCTAACCGAAAACCATTCTGCCAGCCCTATTATTAGGACTTAGGAGTTATATTGGGTCAAAGGTTGCCAGGTTGGGCCATCAAACACCCAGCCCCAGCCTGGTTTGAACCAACCGGTTTGCGTTTTGCTGTGGGCTGATCGTCTTCGTGGGCGGAAACTAAAAAGGAAGAAAATATTGTAAAATCCGGATTATGGAATGGAGCACACGACAGAATCCCCTTCCTTTCTCCGATCAATCTGACTGAGCAACCCAAAAATCAAAATCAAAATCGCAAAAACCCAAAACCCTAACGGCCTAATCGCCGTTTCCTCCCTGTCCCCACCCCGCCGCCTCCGCTGCCGCGGCTCCTCATCCCCTCCTCCGCCGCCCGCTGCTGCTCCTGCTACGGCGGCCGTCTCATCCTACTCCCGCCGCCGCAAGTTGTGCTGCTCTCTGCTCTCCGGCGCCCTTCCCTGCCGAGTGCGGACAGAACGTGTAAGTTCTCCTATTCTTTTGCTCTGTCTCTGCTGTTATCTCTGTCTCTCTCCTTGTCTCCGCCGACGACTGAGGTTGGCCGGCCTCTCTGCCCACCCCCTTCTCCGTCGAACAGTAGTGAAAAGTCATAAAGCCAGCAAGTCTTCAGAGCCTTAAGTTTAAGCTTTCAGAAGGATGTGAACTGAACATTGATAATGAAACTCCTGTATTGACTGCATGCATAAATTCCTTCTCTTCCAAAGCTCACAGTAGCCTCCCATAACATGAGCCTGCAATGGATCATTTTTTTTTATGGGCGCGATGGATCAATTTCTTTCTTCATGCAGGAATTTAGCTCATTGGTAACTAGTCAATTTGTTGCTATGGCTTTAAGCTGATACCCCTTTATTCTTTCTGAACTAACTTCATCTATAGTAACTCACCCCTCCAATTCAAAGGTCCATACTTGCAGAAACCATCAGAGGACTTGCAGAAACCCACCCCACCAAATTTCTATCAGAACGTCTATGCTCATCATAATTAGCATAGAGACACAATTGCGGAAAGACTTGGCATATTTTTCATAGAATGCTCATCAGTTCTACCATTGGTTTTACATTGATCATTGTTATCATTTTTTTGCCATAGATTGATCATTGTTAGTAGGTTCAAGTTCAACAGTTTTTGGTAAAATTTTTCTTTAATTCGCCAGAAAAGGAAGGTGTGAAAGTCTTATTCTCTTTCCGGGTTGGAAAGTATTGTGCGTTTGTTTGAATTGGTAGGTTTGTTTTAGTAGCCTTATGTCGCTAACCCTATATATATTTTTTTTTATTTATATATATTACAGACACTTGCTTCCCGTCAGCAGCCACACTCGCTATTCCAAGGAGCAACAGCTGTTCCCTTGTTCGAGATTACTGCTCAGCTTGAAGCCATGGGAGGGAAAAATGAGAGCTCATCGGCTACATTGGAGTTGTTTTTGAAGATTGGGCTGGATGAGAGAACTGCTAAGAACACTGTAGCAAACAACAAGGTTACCACCAATCTTACTGCCGTCATTCACGAGGTAAAATTGACGATCTTTTTCTGCCGATCTTGTTCTTCGAGGGTAATGGTATCATCTCCTAGTTTAGTTCATCAAGCTTGTATTTTTCCGTTTTGGAGCTGCTCCTTCTTTACCTTGATTCTAGACACACACTCTATTGAGACCTGCTCTCCATTGCTGCCGTGTGTACCATGTCTTGAAACTGCGTCTTGATGGAGTATAATTTGATTCTCTGTTTCAGGCTGGTGTAATTGAGGGATGCAACCGAACAGTTGGAAATCTTCTTTACTCAGTAAGACAAGACCTTCATCGATCCTTTTTAGTTCTGTTATTCTATATAGGTTTTCAATCTGAAGGGGGTGAAAATCTGTGGCAATGTGTGTAACTTCAGTCTGGTCATGTTACCGATCTTTCACTCGTAAATTTCATTCTATGCTAAGTTGGTATTTTTATACATGCTATATGTTTGGTAGGTAGCCACGAAGTACCCTGCCAACGCCCTTGCACATCGCCCTGTATTGTTGGAATATATTGTCTCATCCAAGGTTTGAGTAACTGTATCTTTTTGTGCTGTTTTCTCCCATATGAATCATAAACTAAGTTGGAGGGATGGTTTAAAAGTTTGAGATGGAAGTGAAGCTACATTTACATTGAATCTTGTTCTGTCACAACTCTTGCAGATCAAGACCCCAGCCCAGCTAGAAGCTGCATTTTCTTTTCTGTCTAATACTGCTTCTGAAAGTCTTCATGTGAAGGAGTTTGAAGAAGCATGTGGAGTAGGTAAGTGATATGAGCTCCGTGCATGTGCCTACATTTGTACTTCATTCCTTAAATAGCATTGTGCAGTAGACCAGATGTATTCTAGAGAATTACTTGTTTGTGAACATTGTATAACGCATAGATGTAAGAGAATGGGAGAAATTTTTTGGGTACTGAAGTTGATTAACTAACAAGGCAGTTGCAATACCATGTTAAGTTAAAGAGTGACTTAAGTGGAATCCTTACAAGAGAAAATTTAGTAAGAGAGTAACAGTTTTATGCAATGTTTAAGTGTCATAGGAGCTTAGAATGTATTTCTAAGCCTTTCAATATTTTGTGCACAGGAAACAAAATCTGTCGTTGATATTGTCTTGAACCACCATTTGTGGATGCTATTCTTTTAATGGTTTATTTAATTTATGATTCTTTGGTTGCACTTGAACCAGGAATTGAGGTATCTGTTGAAGATATTGAAAAGACTGTCAGCGAGATATTCGAGCTTAATAAGGAGTCCATTTTGGCCATGCGATATCGAACAAATGGTTGGTGTCGTTTCTAGATTACTTGTTCTCACACTTTTATGTTCAATTTGTTGGTTCATCTTGGTTTCTTAAGCTTTTGGTTTTCAGCCTTCGTTGTGAAGAATGTTAGTATTTGATTACCGGACTCATGTTGAGATGAATTGCAAATTCTTTGTTTGACTCTAGTGGGTGACATATTTGCTAACATTCGCAAGAGGCTTCCATGGGCTGACCCAAAAATTGTGAAGGTCAATATTTAACCATTAGGTTAAGGTCATTTAGAATGTTTGTTTACTGAACAATATTTTACTAGTTTCTGCTTCCTTTGTCTTTGTGTAATCAGCAACTTGTAGATGCAAAATTGTATGAATTGCTCGGTGAGAGAACAGCGGCAGATAATGAGAAGCCTACTAAACAGAAAAAAGAAAAACCTGCTAAAGTTGAGGTAAGCACTGTGGCATACTTCAGTTTCACCCTAAAAAGACGTTAATATTTTGACCTCTCACTTTTTGGTTATACGACTTGTGTAGGAAAAGAAGGTTGCTGTTGAAACTACAGTGCAGCCCTCCGAAGAAGAACTTAATCCATTTTTAAATTTTCCCGATCCAAAGGAAAATTTCAAGGTAAGTTGTCACCTCCTTGTTAATGTTATCTTTATTTATCCTCTCTTAAATTTCTTCCTTGTTGTCCATTGTTCTTATTGTCTGAACTCTGAACTGATCTCCAACATAAATCCCACCTAAAGTGGTTAGTAGAGTAGTTCAGTTTGGGTTGATGGTAATGTTACTGATTATAGTGATTTATGAGAACATGGCAAAGGGGGATTTGGAAGCAGTTTGACGCTGGAAAGGTCCTATCCCTAGTTGTTTCGAAATGATTAATGTTGGAGGAACAAGGAGTGTGGCTTTTGCACTTCCATTAATCTTTTTGTTTCATACCTGGCAAGTTAGAGAAAAAGGAGTATGTGCTAACGGTGTGTAGACAGTAGACAGAAGTAAAGCGTGGTTTCTTTTGTTTGACACTAGTTAATCAGACTTCGTTTTGCAGGTCCTCTATTCAAGTAGATGTCATAGTATTTGAATGTCCTGTTTTTTTCTTATCAACTCCATTAGTTTACCAGATTGTAGATGCCTTTGTTGGATTCGAACTTTGGGAAATGGAATATCTTATGAATCCACTTTGATGACAGATATTGTCAAGTTATTGAGAAGGAAGTATAAATCAATCATAGATATATGTTCCCTTATATTCAAATATAAGTTCTGCTTGCTTATTTTAGTGTAGCAATTGTGTGTCTGTTTGCATCGTCTCTGCATACTCATATTAGTGTGGGAATTGTAGATGAGATATGCTCCGTGGTATCACCATTACGGCGCTGTTGTATCACAATTTATATCGTTCATGTTTTTTTTTTATTACTTTCCTAGGTTCACACAGAAATATTCTTCAGTGATCGTCCTGTTCTAAGGTGCTGCAACAGCAAGGAAATGTTAGATAAGCACCTGATGGTAACAGGTGGTAAAGTTTATAGCCGTTTTCCACCAGAGCCAAATGGTTATCTACACATTGGTCATGCTAAGGTACTTGTGTGTTTTCTTAGTATAATGTTTCAGATGACCTGTTTAGCACTTGCTTATAAAGAAGACATTAAGTTTTTCACCCCCCTTTTGAAGGCAATGTTTGTTAGCTTTGGCCTAGCGAGAGAAAGAGATGGATGCTGCTACCTTAGGTAAGGGTTACTGTTTGACCCTTTCTCTTCTTTCCCCCCTTGTTTTGGGGTCTTCATTCTTATGGTTTACTCCATCTCAACGGCCTGTTTCATTGTAAAAGTTTTTTCATACATTTGTCTCCTGAATTTCAAGATTTCGAACATCAAAATATTGTATTTCACTACACTGCCTCATCTTTCCAATACTTAGTTATTAGGCATCTTTTTTATTTTGCTGAAATGACCATTCTGATGGAAGAGCAAAATGGTCAATTCATTATTTCATTCTTGGGCTACTATAATCACCTACTGCACCTTTAAGGTTCGATGATACCAACCCAGAAGCCGAGAAGAAAGAGTACATTGATCATATACAGGAGATTGTCAGCTGGCTGGGCTGGAAGCCCTTCAAGGTAAAGCTCATTTCTCTCTGAAATGCTCTTGGTGCGTGTTTTTGTTGTGCTTGAATGACGTGGCTTCTCTTGGTTGCAGATAACATACACAAGTGATTATTTTCAAGAGCTCTATGAGTTGGCTGTTGAACTGATAAGGAGGGGTCATGCATACGTTGATCATCAGGTGGGTAATCATACATCACTGTACTCAATTGATTGTTGGTAGTGTGTGTGGGAGTAGTGCCACAAAATCCTCAACCATGCCATCATATCTTAGTGGAGGCAGGGTGGGATTTCTTGAAGTTATTGCTACTTGGTGTTATGTAGTGCTAGCAATTACCTCAGGTGTTTTTCTTGTTCTTTTGCCTCTTCCCGGAATGGAAGAGTGAAGTGAAATCTGTGTTTTCAGTGTCAGAAGTTTGAAATAATATTTGTTGCATTGACTTGTTTTGAATTTCTTGTATTTATTTTTAATTATTTGTTAAATGCTGTTTATAGACTGCAGAGGAGATTAAAGAGTACAGGGAAAAGAAGATGAACAGTCCTTGGAGGGATAGACCAATCTCAGAATCTCTGAGGCTCTTTGATGAAATGAAGCGAGGAATGATTGAAGAAGGCAAAGCGACACTCAGGATGAAGCAAGACATGCAGAGTGATAATTTTAATATGTATGACCTCATTGCTTACCGAATCAAGGTAAGTAGAACATGTCTTAGATTAATTGCAATATAAGCACTCTCTCAGTTTTACCAGCATCTAACTTTTTGTTCTGTCAGTTCACTCCTCATCCACATGCAGGAGACAAGTGGTGCATATATCCTAGTTACGATTATGCTCACTGTATTGTGGATTCTCTCGAAAATATCACCCATTCGGTAAGCCTGAACTTATTCATATTTCCGCATGAAGTCTCTAGCTTATTTTCATTATGTTCTGGCTATTGCGGATATTTTACTCCGGTATTTTTCTAGCCATGAATAGGTTTCTCAAGAAAATATGCAGTGCTTTTGTTGCTCAAAATTTGTCTATTGAGATCAAGAGCATTCAGTTTTTCATTCTAAATACATTTTTGTACATTTAGTTCTGTGGTTTAGATACTGTATGCAGGATATAGTTTTCTTACAACAATTAACAATTTCCCCCCTACATTTCTAGCTCTGTACACTGGAATTTGAGACCAGACGGGCTTCCTATTACTGGTTGTTGCATTCCCTTGACCTTTATCAACCTTATGTGTGGGAATACTCGAGGCTGAATGTCACCAACACAGTGATGTCAAAGCGCAAGGTAAAATGAACATGCTGAGAGTGTTTTTGGGAAGCATGAATATTATTCTATATTCCTTTGGCCTAACAAGAGTGGAGCTCATTTCATTATTGCAGTTGAATTTCTTAGTTACAAATAAGCATGTTGATGGTTGGGATGACCCCCGCCTCATGACGTTGGCTGGTCTAAGGCGCAGAGGAGTTACATCATCGGCAATTAATACTTTTGTCCGAGGAATTGGAATAACAAGAAGGTCGGTTATATGAAAGTTTAATCCTTTAATTCCTGGTCTCTTATTGAGGAGATCTCTTCAGTTTTGTCAAGTAGGTTTCTGGAAGTAAATTAAATTTAGCCATTCTGCTAAATGTTGGAAACAGACTTATCTGTGTTGGATAAAATATCCCAGTGAAATTTCGTGATTTTGCTAAATGACTGGAACAGTAAAATGAGTCAAACTGGAATTTAAGATTCTTTTGGATACTGCTTTTAAGTGTTACAGCAACAGTCATTGCTGTTAATAGCTTGAAGTGTTTTTTGGAGTAAAACATACTTCGGGTATATAGATTGCAATCTGTCCTGACTTTCCTGCTCTAGCTAGATGATGTTGCACAGTTCAAACAAGATGGGATCCATTTTGTTGGCTTTGTCAAATGCTGCCTGTTGTATTAATGCTCGTATCTTAAAATTGTATCCAACATCCAGTATGGTTTTTTGTTGTTGTGTCTTTACAGTGACAATAGTATGATTCGTATGGATCGCCTTGAGTATCACATAAGGGAAGAACTAAATAAGACTGCTGCTCGCGCAATGGTTGTGCTGAATCCTCTGAAGGTGGTCATCACCAACTTTGACTCTGCTTCTGTTATGGATCTAGAAGCGAAGAAATGGCCTGATGCTCAGACAGAAGATTCTTCTGCATTTTACAAGGTGATGCTCTGAGAGAATCATAATTTATTTTGAGTGATGAGTTTCAGGCTGTTATTGGGTCAGTGTGTCATTCATATCGAGTGAACCTTATTTGTGAAATCTTTGATTAACGTTCTGTGTCCTTTCCCCCATGCCCTCAGGTTCCGTTTTCAAATGTTGTGTACATTGAACAATCTGATTTCCGGATGAAAGATTCCAAGGATTACTATGGGCTTGCTCCTGGAAAATCGGTCCTTCTCAGGTATGTTGTAATGGTCGACTTTGCCCTGCTGTGTATATGTTCAACTGAAATAGATAAGCTGATGGTGTTTGCTTAAAGTCACTGCAACTGAAAATGCTATCTTTATTTTTCTATCTAACTGAAATACTGTTCTTTATATGCAGATATGCTTTCCCCATAAAGTGTACAGATGTAGTTTTGGCAGATGATAACCAGACTATTGTTGAGATCCGAGCTGAATATGATCCCTCCAAGAAAACAAAGCCAAAGGTAGGTTCCTTATTAGTCTCACCAATCTGAATGATTTGGCAAATGATTAGTTGAGTTAGTACTATATATTGCTACCTTGTGACTGATTCCTTTGATCTGTGCAGGGAGTTCTGCACTGGGTTTGTGAACCTTCACCTGGGGTGGAGCCACTGAAAGCGGAAGTCAGATTGTTTGAGAAACTGTTCAGTTCCGAGGTCAGCAATTTATTTTTGTTTATTCTCTTGGTAGTTTCTACTCTTAACACAAATAAATGATTTTGTCCTTTTGAATTTCGGTTATCAGAATCCTGCTGAACTTCATGATTGGCTTGCCGATTTGAACCCAAACTCCAAGAAGGTTGTGACTGGTGCATATGCTGTCCCAGTGCTCAAAAGTGCTGCCGTTGGAGATAGATTCCAGTTTGAAAGACTCGGTAAAAGTTTACCTCTCTACACATCTTCTGATGTTCCATTTATTGGTGGTGGTGAAACCATAAACTTCCGCTCGCTAACTCTATCCTGAATCTTCATTCTTTCCCAACATTCTACTCAGGCTACTTCGCAGTTGATAAGGACTCTACCCCAGATAATCTTGTGTTTAATCGGATCGTGACACTGCGAGACAGCTATGGCAAAGTTGGTAAGTAGACAATTTTCCCAAGGCGTGCAAGCTATAGCTGCGCGGCAGAGATGATTAGCTGCTTGTCAAGTCGAGTTCTTCTGTTTATTGCAGAGTTTGTTTCCCCTGTTTTATACGTACACATCTTACCTTAGTTAGCAGGGTAGCACAAAACTATCTGTACATCTTTTACATATATGGGTAGTTTTGGTGGAGGCTTTCGTACTAGTTCTGCGTTTTTAACTACTGCAATCGAATCCGGCGATGGCTGTGCAATGTAAAACCACATTTTGGGTTATATTCCACCATCTAAATGACTCTGTAACTCGATCAACTCGATTGATTCAGATCAGACTCTTGTATGGTTGAAGTCGTCTAACTTTGATATTAAGTCAAGAGTCACCCTGGTTAGTGAGTAGTGGATGGAAATTGGGGGACGAAGATAAGAGAAGGAAGGATTAGAACTCTTAGAACAGAGCCAATCGACCCCTGCGTTTCATTTCAATGGTCCTACCAAACCAAGTCAATTCCCCTATTTCAGCAGCAGCTGCCTCTCTAGCTAGTTCATGCACCAAATATGGTTTATATCCCATCCCATGGGGGGAAAAAGTAGACTAATCTTCACTCTGACTTCTTCCTTGCCTTTTTGTTCCTTTATTTAGAAAGCGTGGCTGGTTAACTAAAGCAGCCATATGCAAGCAGTATATATACAATGTTCTGTCCATATGAAAGGGAAATCAAGGAAGCTAAGAAGAGAGGCCAAGGAATTCTCCCTTGTTTGGCCCCTCCTCCATTAATAACTTGGAGAGTTCAGTCTCCTCACGCTTTTACATGTGCAGAGGCTGCGTGCATGCTGCAGTAGACAGTTTAGTTGAAATGCACATTTTGATGCTTAAGATGTTTAGAGCTAAGGGGGTTGATCAGACCAGAGAGGTGAGGAGGAATTCAATATGTATGGTAAATTTCTTCCTAAACAACTTGGCAGGACAACAAAGGATATATATGATTCGTACTTTGACATCTCTTATTAATTTTGAATTATTGCGATGAATTGGTTCTTGACATGATATCAGGAGTTTTAACTAAAGAATTTTCGATTCAAAATTTCATGATCTCTATTAGCTTTTAGTTTATTCCGACACAAAGCATGATGTATTTCTGCAAACTTCAAACTCATCAATTGACTTTCATTTGTGTGGGATATATAAAAGAATGACATATTGACATAAAAATCTATAACCGGACCTGTCCGAAGGTCTTAAGTGTAAAAATTTGTACTATTCTATTAGGAATGTTAAAATAAACACGAGCCTATGCAAGAATTTAGTGCCTTTCTTCTCCCATCATGTGATGACACCTTTTCACTTTTTTCATATTGGCATATGATTTGAGATTGAGGGGTAGCTGGGGAGATTTCTGATAGAATAAGATACTGATGATAGTGGATGATGGCGCTAGTAGTTTGTACTTAGGAGCATATATCTTTTGTTGCAGTGCTACTGTGTTCTTGTTCTGTTTTGGCTGCTAAGTTTTGAAGATATTGCTCCAAAAGCAAAAGCAGAGGAACTCTGCTCATGTGCATGAGTGTGCGTACATGGTAGAATAAGAATCCCATGGAATAACAATCTAAACGATGACGATGATGTTTGTACTTGCATCATCTTATTCAATCACCTGTTATTCTCATTGCCTTTTTCTCCCTGGAGTATTGTCTACAAACTTCTCAAGATTTAATTTTAACTTTAGCCTTATGGAGATAAACTAGTTTTGAGTTTTGACATAGTACTGTTACTTACGGCTTAATCGAGAGGTCTAATGTTGGAATTTTAGTAATCACTTATAAGAACATACAGCGGTGGACCCCGAAATTATATGTAAGGATGTGTGAGTCCCTCTTAATTTTTCCTTTTTTTAAAAAAATATCTTACTAATACAAGTTACAACAAAAGTCCACGATTTGTTATTGTATTTTGAAAAAAAAATGTAAAATACAGCAACTGTCTACAGTGCTATATATGTACTACGGAGTTGAAAAAGCTCTCTCACTTCTCGGAGTTGCAATCGTAAAATCAATACAATATTGAGTAGCAAATAGACCCCATAGATATGATAGATTCAATTTTGTCCCCCAACCATCAACTCATATAATTCTATCACTTGCTTCTAATTCATCAATTCCTTTCCATATGAAGAGAAATTTTGTCGCTGTACTGTTAAAGATCATGGATTTGACGAAGCTCATTAAACTAGCATAGATTTCACTTCTCCAACGTAACTGATCATCCAGTAGTGCTTTGAATGTCGAGGTCAATCACCACATGACCAGTAATAGCATGTTTCATGCATCTGATCTAGCTAGCTGTATTAATGTTTCTCCTTTGGTACAACCTGGAAGTTAACCTTTTGTTGTCCGTTAGTCACGCCCAACATTTTATGAGGTTATCAACGATTTCCTTGTCAAATTTAAAGCATTTTTAACTTCATTAATCCACGCAACTGCCTCCCCTAGTCAAAATGACCCACATGATGCAAAAAACCCTAATCGGTTTCCCTTTAACTGGTCCAATTCTAGCTAATATGTTGCTAACAACGGTGTTAGATGTAGATCAGGATTGGCTATATCTTCCGTCAATATGTGGATCATACGTTAAACAAATATCGAGCCTAAATTTTGGAAGGGTTCATAATGAAGTATCGTACCACTTCCACAGTCATTTCAATGCAAGCATGCACCTTAAAATTTTAGGTCAAATATTGAGAGTAAGGGTTGTAGCTCTCTTGTAGTGAAATACTCTACATTTAGCTCTACCTTCTGTGCACGAAATATCAAACAAACTATATAGTTTGGATACGTTGTCATTTTGGTTAGATAAACTATTATGATGATCGAGGTTTATCGACAAGTATCCCTTCATAATATTTTTTTTATAATGGACCCAATATAGCTTTGTCATCTTTTGCAACGAAGTGGTAATTATTGAACTTTGAATAATCCAATCCTCATCAGTTCAATGATAAGGTATATAATAGTGTTTTAATGAAAGGATTGACAAGTCGCATGCATTGTTGTCATGTTTCATTTTGGGGATTCTTTTGCTTGTTTCCTAATTCTGACTTTGGACGAGAATTCGTTTTGGGATTTGCATACATAGCGTTATTCCTGCAGATTAATAGTGCCAAAATGTGCGCATATGATGATATAGGCAACTCCCACCGCCAATTTTTTTCCTTTGATATGATATGTGGATGAACTTGGTACCTATATCATGCAAGTCATTCACTTTGGAAAAGGCTAGCTAGCTACCACTCTATACTATACCTTAGGCAATGTGGTGGCTAAACAATTCCCCAATACATTGGGACCTTGACCAATGAAAAAGACCTTTAGATGTCATGTTGAATGAGTAGATGTAATCCCCATGATTATATCTTTTAATTGGTGGCGGAAACAGAAATATGAATGAGGGCTCAAATTCTATATTTATGGGTAGTTTGGATGTGATATTTATCAAACCTGTTATTTGGAATCAATTACCACACAAATAATACCACATGTCACAATACTTGTTATTTGCTATGTTATATTTGTATGAAATAACACATTTGGAGAAATTATGGGATTTGAACCGGGAAGGTGAGCTAAAGTCTTACCACCTAATTGGGAATGGCAATGGGGCAGGTCCGGGGCGGGTTTCTTGGTACCCAGACCCACCCCGTGGCAGGTCGGGTCCAGGTCGGGTAATTTATGATGGATCGCAGGTCGGGACAGGTCGACCCAATGAGTATGCAATTTATATGAAAAACATTAGAAATATTCGTTATTTTTATTATAAGACCAAGAAAACAAACAAATTTTTGATAAATGTTGTTAAATTATTAGAGAAATTGAGGTTTTCACTAATTTACAACATTATTATAGCTAAATTATGATGTAATAAAAGAAAAATCTTAAGTAAATTGACTAAGATTACATGTAAGTTAGGCAAGAACGGGTCGAGAATGGGGCGGGTCTGGACAGGTCGGGTCGATGATAGTACTCATACCTGTCCCGCCCCGCCTACGGAGCGGGTTGGACCCGCCCCAAAACATGCCAAACAGGTCGGGTAAAACGGGTCAGGTCGAAATTGCCATCCCTACACCTGATATTCTATTTGCAAAATTTGTTACAAAATTTACATGCAAATTTCCACAATTTTGAGAGTTGGGGCTCACCCCCTCCTACCAACAGAACCATTTGGTTTGTTATCAGACGACTATGAGGCATGGTGGGATGTAAGAAAACTCATTTTACGTGACTTGAGAGAATGATTATACGAGAAGTAAGAGCAAACGGAGAGGGTTTGAGATACAAGCAGAGAAAAAATCGATTATGAGATCAGAAATAAATAAGACGGAATTGAGAGAACTAGGACAAATTGAGAGATGAAATTAGAACAAGTAATTAGTATCTTGCTTCTGCAATAAATTGATCGAATGACTAAAAATATAATATATTGTATAAATCGAAACCCTGATAGCCATGTACATAATAAGATACTAAAACACTCCTAATCTACTCGCGGTCCATAAATAATACGGGTGATTTTGTAATGCATTCGTTTCTCACACATCAGAATAGTTCAACTATTACTAGGTAACTTATAGGCATGCCTTCATTGCCTTGTGTTTACTCCTGGGCCCTGGCAATCAGCAACCGATTGACTTGAATACATCTCTAGCAATGATACTAATAATAAAGAATAAGAACAAAGGAAAAAACAATGTCAAGAGTAGGGATGGCAACAAAATTCGAACCCACGGGTACTCACCCGACTCAACCCGGTCAACGTGGGTAAAATTTGTGTTGACGGGTTTTGGGCCGGGTATGGGTTTAAACCCGTTCACTATTCATCGGGTTGGGTTTGGGTTTAGGTAAACCCGACCCATGGGTACCCGCCTCATATAATTAATTTTCTCGATATATTTAATATTCTAAACAACTAATCTTATTTATGTTTGTGGAGACATGTCTAATTTTTTCTTTCTAATTGTGTAGAATGAAGTTGATGTTATCGAGTGGAAAGTGAAGAAACTTAATTGAAGAAAGAATTTTTCAATTAATCATGTTATTTATAAATAATTTGTGATTTGCTTTAATTTTCTTGAGTTTTCTAGATTGGTGTTTAACAATTTGTATAGTTAATTTGTGATTTGCTTGAATTTTCTAGAATTGTGTTTTATATATGGAAAATTTGTATTGAGAGATTGATATTTGACTTTAATTTTGATAGGAACTTGTTATTGTAAATTTTTTCAACAAAAACCCGTGGGTACCCATGAACCCAGGAATACCCAGCGGGTTGGGTTGGGTTTGAGTTTTTCAAACCCAGTAGATTTTATCCCAGGTTTTTTTCACGGATAAACTCATGTTTTTGAGTTTGGGTTTGGCAAAACCCTACCCATTGCCATCCCTAGTGAAGAGTGGGGTAACAAATATTTTGGGACTACATACATTCACCCAATTCCTTCCCTCCACCTCTTTCTCCATCTCTCTCGAAGTCTTTTCATCAAAATTTTGATGTTCTGTAGATTTGGTAGATGTGACAACACTTCTCTTTTCAATCCTATGTGTTATCACTTCTGTCCATCATTCCTTTCAATTCACAACCAACGGGACCATCTCTTCCTTTTCTGTTAGTACTTAGTACACATCGGAAAATGGAGGTGGAGGACAAGATGTGGTTTAAATTAATTAATCCTCGAAAAGCAATTAGTATGAACTTATTCATAAAAAAATAATAAGTATGAGTGTCACTCTTTTACAAAGAATCTATGATCAGGACTTTTTGGATTAGCGATTCCTAAGTGAGTTGATTTAGACTTAGACTTCTATTAGGGTGGATGCTAAATATTTTTCATCACAAAGTTTGAGAAATGGACATATGGATATTTATAATTAATTAGTTGGAGAAAGGGATATACTTTTTTTTAGTATAGAAGTCTCTAACCGAAGGGAAGACTAATTAGGAAAAAAAGCATGGCCACCAAACATATACACCAACCAAATACCAACTAAATTAGGGTTGATGGGAGTCCCTCAACCAGCCAATGAAAATCTTGCGAATAAGAATTCGATTTAGTGGTACAATTATTGGTTTTCAACCTATAGAGATCCCAAATTCAAATATCTTAAATAACTCATAATGATAAAAAAAACATTATATCACCGTTATTTAAAAAAAAATCTATTTGCGCCGGAGAATGATGATAATTAATTAATACGATCCTTTAATGAAAATCGTAAAATAACATATCACGATCTAATATGACTCTAATCAATATTATGACCATTAGGCTATAGCTATTAGCTAGCTAGAGTACAATATGAGGGGCTTAATAAGTGAACCCTTTAAGACAATTAATTAACAAAAGAACATCATCATCTAAGTACCTCTCCCTCTCTTCCTATCTCTCCACTAAGCTAGCTAGATGCTCGTTCCCTCGAATCCCGTACTGCCACGTGTCATCCAAGTTCCAGAGTGTATCCGCCACGTCATAGTTATACCCCACCCAGTTGCCATCATCGCCTCCCACGTGGCACAATCCATGATCCGCTGTCGACGACTGTGAACCTGAAGCAGCTGCTGCCATCAATGGATCCACCATCTCTTCATAGTAGTTTCCATCACCCAGAATCATGTTCCAGTTGCAGTTTTCCATGGAGAATATTCCAACATATTCCGATCCAACAACTTTCCCCGCCTCAGGGTTTTGCTGGTGCTGGTACGACACCGTTGTGGAGCCTGTGGAAAGGGAGGTCATGTTCGAGAAGTGGATTGCCTCAGCTTCTTGTGGTGGAAAAGAGTAATACGGATTAGCGATGATCAGTTCCTGATCCGCTGCAGGCGATAGCAGGGAACCTGCAGAATCCGCTGCAGCCACCTGATGATGATTCAGAATCGTCTGATCAGGCATAGTACTCGAAGTTGGAAGCTGACCATCTGATGATGATGAAGTAATTTGCTGCTGTTCAGCTTTCTGAAGCAGACGTGGCATCCAGTGGCACCTCACAGCGTCGAGGAATTTTTTGCTGTTGGATTCGATGTTGAGCTGCCTTGCCTGCCTCTGCACTCGCGTTCTCCAGTAGTTCTTGATCTCGTTGTCCGTCCTTCCAGGCAGATGTTGAGCTATTCGTGACCACCTAATTAAAAAAGATTTATCACTAATATTTAATTACAACGCGAAGTATATATATATTAGTATTGGTATTTTTCCTTAAAAAGAGATTTTTTTTTTACCTATTACCCCACTTGGAATGGAGTTCAAGGATCATAAGCTGCTCTTTGGGAGTGAGATTCCCTCTCTTAATATCCGGCTTCAAGTAATTCAGCCATCTTAGCCTGCAACTCTTCCCAGTTCTTTTCAGTCCTGTTAAGAGATTAAAAAGGATTTAACAAATCATTTCCCAACAACTCGAGTTATTATTGAGATCATAACTGGTTAGTTTCGATATAACATACCAGCACATTTAGCGAGCATGTTCCAGCGGCCTTCGCCATGCCTGGCGATGTAATGGGAGAGAAGAGTGTCTTCCTCCAGCGTCCAAGGCCCTCTTCTCAGCTCATGATCATGGTCGTGACTAATTCCCACTTCTGTACCGCCATTGCTGCTGCTGCTGCTGCTGCAGATCATTGTCCCGTTATAACCAGCAGCTCCATAAGGGCGATTTACAAGTGGTGCTCTCATTTCATGCATGGGATGGGAGTGCATAGTTAAACGAAAAGTCAGGTGAAGAGGGCAGAGATTTATATAGACGAACCAACAAGTGTACAGTACTATAAATAGTGGGGATCTAGTTATTAGTAGCTGGAGAGGTTAGAGGAAATAGTGGGTTGTACTTAAATATTCTCTATTCATCACCACATGCTCTTTTCTCGACCCCATGCCATGGAGGAAAAGAAATTGTTATTCCTTTTCTCGATCCCCTTTTATTGCGATGTATAGAGATGGTGTTAGTGAATAAAGTTCAAAGGGTATCCTAGACTTAATATAGACATGTCTAACACGTAGTTAGTTCCAATAATTCAAGTTGTTATTGAGAAAAAGTTATGTATTTTATACAATTCTCTAACAGTTCTCACCAGTGGCGGACCTAGGATTATTGAAGAGGGGTGTTGCCGATAAAAAATATAATAATTAAAAATAAGTTGTTATTGAGAAAAAGTTATGTATTTTATACAATTCTCTAACAGTTCTCACCAGTGGCGGACCTAGGATTATTGAAGAGGGGTGTTGCCGATAAAAAATATAATAATTAAAAATAAGTTTAATAGAAATTACTAGAAATTCATTTATAAGTTCGCAACGTCATGTTTACTAGGGCTGGCAACCAGTGGCGGAGGCAGCATTTCAAACTACCTCTGTCATTTTTTCATAACTTAAATATATAAGACTATAAGTATCTAATAAATGAATTATTTAATAAAAAATAATTATATCCGAATAATTCATTCATAAATTAAAAATAACCGATTATACAATCATACTTTTCAGAAACAACTACAAAGAAATTTCATATAGTGAAAGAAACGGAAAAACATTCGTTGTCTGCACTATTATATAAGTCTTTAATGTATCTTACTAAATAAGTATTAGCAAACTGGTCGCTAAATCGACTTGGAAACTTGTTCTTAATATAACTCAAAATTGAAAAATGCTCTTGTTACACTTGCAGTTGTAATTGGTAGATCAAAACTAGTGTGATTGCCGTTGTCGCTAGATAATTTCAAGGTTGTTGGGGAAAAGATCGAATATCCATAAGAAGAAAAGAGACCCGATTAGGTCTTTATTGCAATTGGAATTTCGTTTATAGTATAATAAATTAATTTTGGACAAATAATAAGTTGTGTTATAGTGACAAAGTACTCTAATACTACCTATAGGTGTCGTGTTCCATCACCAATATAAATATATATGACGTATTTTTGTTCCACCGAAATTTACCCCTGTCCCGGGACAAGCCCCAAAGGGCCTGCCTCCGCCACTGCTGGCAACCGGTCGGTTTCGGTTTAACCAAAAACCGAATTATCAGTTTTCGATTAAACCGAGACCTGACCAATACCCACCATCGACCGACCGCCCCAGCAGCCCCGGTTAGCCACAAACCGACCGGGTGGTTTTCGGTTTAGGTGCGAATTAACCGAGGCAACCGAAAATGTGAAGACCGGTTCGGTTTAGTTGCCTAACCGACCTTGAAAGCAGAGTGAGACGAAGCATGGAATCGAGAGTGAGACAAAGCAGAAAAGAGTTGCATTTGGAATAAGATTCATGAACAGTAACAAACTTTTCCATTAACCCATCAACAAAGACAGGTCACTACTTTTCAATCTACTAAACATACATAATTGCGGGAGCTGCTGCTTGTGTTGGGAGGGCGACGAGCTGCTGCAGGAGTGCTGGTGTAGGCGGCGGGGCGACGTCGACGATGGTGGAGGTGGCGGGGCGGCGAGGGTGGAGGCGGCGGGTGCCGGGTTGTTGCCTGGGTTTCGAATCCCTCAACTGCAATTAATCAGCGCTACTCTTATCCGCGCCCCAGCGATACTCTGTTACCTCTCTTGAATCCGTCAATTGCAATTAATCAGATCTCCAATACCCAGTTGCCGCTTCACAAGAAATTCCTGGAAAACCTTATCGAGTTCGAATCTACCAACGATGACGGTTGAGAGAAGCAGAAACTCGGATATATCGGCGATAGGGAAGCCGGTCAGGGTTACAATATCCCTGGTGGAACATCGACGATGGTGGAGGGCTGGAGCTCTTTGCGGGAGAAGACGAGAAGGGGGAAGGGGAAGAGGGCTGCACGATTGATTTGGGAATTGGGGGGAGGAGGGTCGATTTCTTAGGGTTAGTGGTAGGGCCGAAGCGGGATCGTTTTTGGGGAAAGGGAAGAGGTCGGTTAGCCGGTTACCGACCCCGGTTAGTCGGCAAGCCGAACCCCTGCCCTTTCCCACCACCAACCGACCGCTGTATTCAGAACCGGTTTTTCGGTTAGCCGAAAACCGGTCGGTTCGGTTGAAACCGTCCGGTTAACTGCTAACCGAAAACCGGTCGGTTCGGTTGAAACCGTCCGGTTAACTGCTAACCGAAAACCGTTCTGCTAGCCCTAATGTTTATTACGAATTATGACGATTTTTCATATCCTGAGATTTTTTTAAAATACATTCATCGTTTATGTTGCAAATCAAACCTTTTTCGATATACATAACTACATAATCATTCATAAATTAGTCCCTAAACCAAAGAGAATCGACCTACATCTAAAATGAAATTAAGTTAAAATAAATTAGTTTACAATCAAATATAGTAAACTACAATCTACCAATCGACAATTTTAGAATAAACAAAGTATGCCTAAAGTAATATCATTAACATTTTTCTCTAGTTCTACCAAATTAACCAAAATCAAACTACAATCTCCCATAAATATACGCAATTCACCTATTAACTACAAATCGACAAGTTAAATTGGGTTGTGGATTACTTAAAACAAGCATGCTTATTTGATTTTACTTATTATTGTTAATTACTAATTATGATGAATAACTTTATAACATTAAAACTATTCTCGTATAATGAAGGTGTGTCGCTTATAATTATTAGAGCAGTGTCGGAAGTTTCAAATTAAAAAAAATTGTACAAAAAATGGAGGTACTTCACAAAATTTTCGAGCGGAGGGGAGGGGTGTCGGATGACACCCCTCCCCTTGCCTTAGGTCCGCCCTGTTCCCACATCCATAGGCTAACCTACAATAAATATTAATTTATATTACCGTATATGTTTATCACAAAATTGGTAAGATTTTTTTTTTTTACAACAAATTGGTAAGATTTAATTACTAGTTGTTCGCTCATTCTTTTATATAGGAAACAAATCAAATTAGATCTATCTTATCTAAAGATGGCGATGAAGCAACTTATATGGCGAGAATACGGGACAATCCAAATACCACATCGAAAATACAAGGAAAGGAATTTTTGTATATTAATGTCCACCTAGCCCAATTAGTAATAGGCCTTTGGGGAGGACCCAAGAGTAAATCCGTGCGGGCTTAGCCCAAAGTGGAAAATCCTTGTAACGAGAAGCCATCGATACAAGGTGTCTGGCGGATCAAGATAATCGCTGAGGTGAGTACACGAAGTTCGTGATCTTTGACTTGAAGGGAGGATTACCACATTGGTAATACAAGGGAAATGACCCCTGTATATTAGTGTTCACCTAATCCATTAGTACGAGGCCAGTCACGGGACTTGAAATACACTATTATCGTAACGAGATAAAAAGAAGAAAAATACTGCATGTAAAATTAGTTCTTGTTCACATATGTTTTGCCGCCCTTCTATTTTTTTAAGTCGGTCACGATGACAGTTTTTCTGTTGGCATTGTGTTGCCAGCTGGCATTGTGTTAGTAAGATAGATGCGTGATTGACCAGAGAAGCTATAATGAATTCCTGATGAGATAACGTTCAAACACAACGTGTCAAAAAATCCATATTAGTTCAGAGTTTCAACAGTACAAGAAAAGGAAATGCACAGTCAGAAACGAACAAAGCTTAATTAGCTAGGTGGTATCCCATGCATGTTACTATAGGGTGGAAATGAGACATGTTGGTGGACTCTCTAACAGTGTAACCGATGGCTATTACATAATTATCGGTTTTGGACTTTCATTAACACGAAATTTGTGGGATAAATATCAAATTACACTATCTAATCCAAACTAAATAGTCTTGATTATTAATCACTTTAATCAATCCAAGTTGCTACAGCCAGAAGAATATCTTTAATGTGATAGCTATCCTTGCAGCGGCGGATCCAGGACAGGGTAGAGCACTGTGCCACTTTTGAAAAAAGGTGGAGATGGCTGGATCGCAACGTGAAAAACACTGAAACGAATACCAAAAATCGGAAATTACAAGCTCGAGATCCAGAAAAGGGTTGGACCGCGGCCCGGGGGCGGCCCCCTGGATCCGCCGATGTATCCTTGTAGAGAATCACTACGTATTTCCTTATTAACATGACGTCTGCTATTGTATAGTTGATCGAATTAATCAACTAGCCTTCGATATCTCCATCATGACTGAATAATTTTCTATTTAATCCACCATTTTTCTTAGGTTCCTCATACTTTGTGCTACAATCAATTGTTAAATAATTCATTGTTAGGGTTTGCTCGGTGCAATTTTTCTCCATAAACAAATTAAACCTAGTACGAAAAAGTTGTTTTTGTTGTTATACAAGTTTAAATGATCTATTCATAACTTTTTCACCTTGAACAATCATCTTAGTGTGTCCGTTTTTGTTAATTGACCTAAATAATTAACTACGTACCTTGGTTGTTAATTGACTATGTTGATAGTTCCCTCGTTGTGGAAGTAGTCTTTCCAAGGATGTCGACAAATCAAAGTTGATAATGTCAAGTACCAATTATATGATTGGAAACATTTTACTACTGTAACTAGGGGTGGGCATTGGGTGGGTCGGGTGGATTTTGACCATAAAATGCACCCACCCGCGCTTAAACGGATTGATAATTTTTAACCCACCACCCACCCACATTTAGTCTCGGGTTGGGTCGGGCGGATGGTGGATGATGCGGGTGGGTTTGTGGGTTCACCCACATCACAATGTATATA